TCTAGGTTGGTTTCATAAACCGATCTGAGAGATCGATTGGATGAGTTCTCCGCAATCTCCACCGCATTCGGACTCCTCCAATTTTATGTCTCTTTAGAAAACATTGATAGGAACTTTTGATGCATTTGTTGATTGATTTATGGGAAACATTTGGCGTAGCATTTAAAAACATATATATATTTGTGTGTTGTGGTTAGCCATTTTTTTTGTATATGGCCGTAAACTTGCTTTAACATGTTGCAGCTAATGTTCTTCATATTAATCTTGGTAACTGCAGACTTGACATTTGATAGAACTAGATCTATGCTAACTATCTAGGACTCGATCTGATGAGTATCCAACTGCCTATAGTGATTCCTCATTGGAGTTGGCTTTTAGGGCATCTGGCAGTCGGGCACTTTTGCTTATTTTTAGTTAATATTTGAAAGATTTCAAGTGGTTTCTCTTCATTTATTTCTGTTTCGGCCCGTGTCAGTGACCGTTTTTAGCAAATTGCGTCAAGTTGAAGTCAAGTGGAAAGTAAAAGTCGCGGCTCAGCGGGGAGCCGGGGGTCAAATTAACAGCTAATTACGTGCGAATTCCAACTACCAAAGAATTCCAAATGACACCTGCTGTAGCCGGGCTTGGGGTAGCGGGGCGCTGTCCGTGTACAACACGGACAAGCATGGCTGGACAAACTCGAACGCACAAAATAATAATAAGAAAAAATATATTTTTTATACAGAAAAAAAAAAGAACTGGGGGCTAAAAAAACGCTCTTTGTACACGTAGCTGCCAATTGCAAGGGACAACAAAAACGTCAAACATTATTTGAATACAAAATTTCCTTGAAAAGGGTTGGCAGCATATGCTGACACGGGGGTGGCTGACAAGGGGGCGTGGGTTCGGTCTGCAAATCCAGCGCCCAAGTGACAAAAGTGAGAAATTAGTCGATGTGCCCGACACCAGAAAGCGTTATGAGTGAGAAGGGCGACCAAAGGCAACCGCAACCCTTGTACCGAGGCTTTAGCTAGGTGGGATTTGCTATCGCAATCATTTTGTTTAGGAAAAAAAAAATGTCAAGTGTCGGAGCGGGGTCAACGTTGTCCTTGTCGTCAACGCAATTAAAATTCAAAGAGCAAAATGCATTTGCCACGCTCACGCACGCAGACGCAGCCCACTAGCCGAGGCTCGTGCTGTATGGTGCCCAATCCAGGACACAGATTTCCAGTTGGGATTGTAATTCAAATTGTGTTTAAGACAGCACCAGCCATATATATATATGTATACGTATATACACTAGATGCCCGGCGCATAATTACATGCTAAATTGTGCGACACAAATAACGAGGCATTAGAAGTGGCTGGCAAAAACGTATCATACTCAACGGCAGAGCGATGGACGCAGTGGGTTCCACTCGTTTCTTGTGGCTTTTCCCTTTACCCATTTTCTTGTTTCTTTGTTTTTAGTGCAAGTATCTCATGCCTTGTTGCTCATTTGTTGGGGCGATTTGCATGCACTGCGTCTTATCGGCTGGCAAATTAACGCCCAGATGTCTGGCATTTTCTTGCTATTTGCATTCCGGACTTCTGATTGCGGCACATGTGTGCCCAGATGTTGGTTGTGCCCGGACTAGCTGCCAGTTTGCCATATATATTGTTTTCTTTTTTAGTGGCTGCTTTAATTACGGCTAGAGCCGTGCTCTGTTAGCTCAGCGCAACAATATTAACATTCCAAATCAATTGCTTTAATTAAAATCAAATGAAAAAGCGCTAACTGTGGCACACCGAAGCTCCAACACCCTTCTCGGCATATCAGTTACAAATGATTTTACTAGCTTTATTTAGAAAAGATTATTCCTATACCAGCCACATGATATAGTAGTCCATATTGCGAGCTTGCAACTAAGTTAAGAGAAATTTGAATCAGTTCGCATCATTATTAGGCTTGGATTAAAGATTTTCTATTTTCTGAACTACGAACTAAATGAATTGAAATGCGGAAAATATCGTATGCAGAATTATCAGCAAATCAATGTTTTTTCTTTGTCGTCAAGAATTGGTTTCGGGCTGGAAAGTTATTGTAAGAGATTTCTCTTTTCTATCAACTCCGATAGAGCTTTATGTTCTAGTGATGCGAACTTGACTTGGGCTTTGCTCAAGTGCTACAAAATCTAGCAAAGCTCTCTCAAAAAGTAGAAAATCTTTCAAGCAATTATCTATCTATAAATGTGAGGATTCGGATTTTCGTGGCAGCTATATGATATAGTGAATCGATCTGGCCGCATCGACTCGGCTGTTGATGCTGCTCAAGAATCGATGCACTCAGAAATGTCTACTTCTAGGCGCTGCGCATTTCGTGACACAATTTGAACACGCTCTATAGTAAGGGTGTATATATATATATATATATATACAAGCATCTATAGAAATTACACTGATTACTCAGATTCTTTACATTATTGCCAAGCACAGCGTGCTCTCAGTAAATAATTGCTAGTTGTCAATGTGTATCTGTAATATTAGGCAATAATTTTGTGTTTATTTACAAGGTGCTGCAACAGTTTATTGAACACACAAATCCAGATTCTCGAAAGGGAGACCTGCAGCAGCAACTATCAAAATAACATTTGCAAATCAATTCATTTAATTCGAATTGAGAAGCAAACACAAAAGCAAATTAAGCCTGAAACACAATCCTTTAGGCCCGACATATTTGATAAACAACAGATATGCAAGTGACAGGCGAGTGACATGTTATCGAATTTAATCAAAATGCCAATATCGATATATGCAAATAGGCAATATATATTTAAATTAAAATATTAACGGCTACAACAGTTAATTGAGCATTTTAAATGAGACTTTTTATTTATTAATATGCCACTTCAGTTCCGCTTGAGTGCCCCTTCAGCTTTGTGGATACAATTGTAATGCCATGCCACAGACACACAGAAAAATCAGTTAGATAGCATTAAATGAGATGTTCCGAGAAATTCCAGCAGGGCGCAAATTTCAGAAGGGAGCAATGCAGCGAGCCAAAAATAATGAACTCCAAATGAAGTAAAACAAAAAGAAGCACACAGTATTAATTATTCATATTTCATTAGTGAGCGCCACTCACCGTACCGAGTGCCTCCTCAAGGGTTGGCGGCGGAGTCAAAGAAAGGCGTGTGCCATATAAAATTTATAAAAATCAAAGTAATGTTGCCAGCGTGCGGGCAGGCGGGGGAATGTCAGTCAGGGCAGCGCCGCAATGAAAACAAAAAGAGGGCGACGGGGTGTGGGTTAAATACTAGCCAAGACCAAGAGAACAGAGGTCCTGGTCCTGGTCCAGGTTCTGGCCCTGGCTCTGGTCCTGGGTACCTGCTACCTGTTAGCTGAAAGCCGCTTCGCTTGGCAGGCATCATCATTTGTCTTGGTCTTGGCATCGTTTTGGGCCGCGGCACATTGATGAATGAAGTGCGTACATGGCCTGAAAAGGCCAAAAGGCCAAGCGACATTAAAAATGCACACGCAATCAGAAAATGTTTCATGCTGGCCCCGACGGCAGTTAACAGTTAGCAGGCAGCAGTAGGCATCCAGTTGATGGATCAACAGCGCCCAGATAAGACAGCGTTGGGCGGGCTAATGAGCGAGTTGAAGTGGGCCAAGCACGGCGACGCTGCCATCGCCCATCAACTTTTCTTCACGTTAAAGACCCTGAGCCACCCGCTCAAATGTGTGAAAAGGGTATAATGGGTTTGTGCAAATTTACGTAGCAGACGGAAGACAGCATCACCGATCCCAGAAGGTAGTCATGTATACATATACGTATCGATCTGGCCATGTTTATGGAATTTTTTTAAAATTTCACATATTTTTTCGATATCTCCTACATTACATTTCCATTTCCATTGTATCGATAAATATCGATTTTGAGGCTTGCCTCATTTGAGCAAAGATTTTGAGAGTCAGATACTCCAAACTTGGAGTTTACACAGATTGGGAATATTTTACGTTTTGGAGACATTTTCCCATTCTCCCCCATACCCATCATTCGATAAAGTATGGATATACATCTTTTTATTCTCCCCTATTTCAGTTATATCGATAGATATCGAGTTTGGGACTTTCTCTTTTAAGCATAGCTCGATAACTATGAGAGTTAGATTAGTTATTATTAGATTAAGAATATTTTACTTTTTGGTTACCTACATTCTTCATGCATTTCGATTGCAGGGTATCCCGTAATCGGGCACGCTTTTTTGTGTTTTTTTGTACTGGTTTTTGTTTTTTAAGCCTTTGAGCTGGGGCAAACGCAGTCGCCGTCATCGTTGACGGCAATAAATAATTTGTTTGGGCTTTCAGCGGCCGTCCAAAGCAATTACCGTGCTCAAGGTGCAGTTGCCCAGTTGCCCGGTTGCCCAGTTGGCTGACTCTACAGCCGACACCTACGCACCCAAGCAGTTCGGCTTGACTTGAGGCGAACTTTTGCCCGTGCCGTCCCGTCATCTTATCAGGTTCACTTACTGGGTCAACTTTGTTTCCACCCCAATGATTTATTAAGCCAAGCGCCCAACTTGTGCTTCTCCTGCCATTGCTGCTGTTGCTGCTGAGGCTATTTTCTTTGGCACGTTCGCGCTGAGAAAACAGACGCCTCGCATGGCAGCTCTCATGTGTGTGGGTGCGTGTGTATGTGTACAGTGTCGTTGGCTGTGGCCAAGCGTGTTGACCCGTTTGACACCCATTAATATGCACAGATTCGCATAGCTGATGTACTCGGCGCTGGGCTGCATGAAGCCTTCAGTCTGCTGATACTTTACTCAATGTATTTGCTTTTTTAAAGGATTCTGTTGGCTTTTGACCTTGACACAGGTGTGCGTTTGTTAGTGTCTGTGAGTGTGTGTGTGTGTGCTTGTGTGCATTCCTTGGCAATTGCTTTCGTCAAATTTTGGAACTATTGGAACACTGGAGATTGCAAAATGAACTAACGCTAGCATTACACTTTTATTTTAAAATCTAATTCTGGCTATTCATGTATTTAATAAATAATGTTATTGCACTGTATCGTCTGTCATTTCCTCATCGCCGCTGCTGGTGTCAGATAGATTCAACGCTGTTGCCGCGCTCGACTCATTGACAACTTCGTAGTCGACGCGCACAGCTTCGCTGTCCATGCGTAGCAGGTATTTGACCTCTCGCAGGATGTCTGGCTCGGGCGGCTCTACGTTCTTCTCTTTCAGTGCGTTGTTCAGACGACGTCGGCGCAGATTTCGACAGGGCGGCGTCAGACCGTGTGGCCATAGATACTTTTCGTCCACTTTTAGTATATCTCTGGTGTCCTCCAAAATGGGCGACAGATTTTCCTTGTCGTCGTCCCAGGGAGCATCCGATTCAGATTGCGTATTGGCTTGTTTGCCGGCCTGCTTTCCCGCCTGTTTTCCAGCCAGCTTTCCAGCTTGTTTTCCCGCCAGCTTTCCAGCCTGCTTTCCGGCCTGCTTTCCAAGCGGCTTACCAGCCTGCTCATCAGCCAGCTCATCGGCCTGGTCTTCAGCCAGCTCATCAGCTTGCTTTTCGGCCAGCTTTCCGGCCAACTTTACCGCCTGTTTTCCAGTCTGCTTTCCAGCCTGCTTTCCCGTCTGCTTCTTAGGCTGTCTTCCAGGCTTCTTTGGGGTCGGTTTTTCGGTCTGTTTAGCAGGTTGCTTCGCGGCACGCCTACCGGCCTTCTTCGGGGGCGTCTTCTCGGGCTCTGTGTCTGAATTTGACACAGGCGCAGTATCCAGCTCCTTGGCTTTTTTGGCACGCTCCCTATCGAAATCCTTTGGGCGCTCCCTACTGCACACTAGCAACTGGCAAATGTCGGCTGTTTTGTACAAATTCGTATTGTCAGCCGTTTTGTAGCTCTCAATAACTGTGGGCAGATCAACAAGTTTGGCGTGCAGCTGCTGATTATTTAGGTGTACCTCACCGTATCGCAGATCGTTGTCAAGCTGAATACTTAGTTTCTCATTGATGGTTTCCGCTTCTATAGCTTCGTGCACTATTTTGGCAAGGTCCTGTGCGAAAATAAATCAAAAATGTATATGCGATTCGATAAACTCTGTCAAATACTTGAATATATTTACCTCCGGAAACCGAATTATAAACTGACTCTCCAGCTCTAGCTTATCAACTGGGGAATTTACCTGTGGCTGATTATTTTTTTTTGACATAGTCAGCTTTGTTTTTACCAACTGCAAATGAAGCACCTGTCAAAGTGGAAATTTTCATTGCAGTGCCTACAGTGTTGCTCAACGTCTGGGGCATATCGATAATACGCTGCGTATACGATATACTGGGGCTTTGCTTCACAGCCATTTGACAGCTTCTTTGCCCCGCCTTCTGCTGCTGTCTCCTCTAATTGCTATACTCGTTCAGGTAGTGTGACGTATATATTGGTTTTTGTGCACGAATTTCGGCACTATAGAAATTGGAGACTAAACTTGTTAAATATGTAGTATATTTATTCGTGGATATTACTTGATGTACTGATGTACTGATAAGCGTCTCATACATGTACAAAGGCGTGGCCAGTTCTCGCATTCAATTTGGCACATTGTCTGTTCTAACTGTTTTTGGATTTAAGAGAGCATGACGCAGTCAGCTACACCCGGCTGCAGCACTCCTACTTATTATTAATTTCCATTGTCATTTTGACACTTCTTTCAATTTGAAGAATTTGATGGTAATTCCAATCAGAAGGCCCTAACCTATTTGATTTTTAAACATAGTTAATTGGATGTCGTTGCAAAGGCAGCTGCACCTCAGAACTGTAGAAGAAATCAGCTTTCAGTTTCTATTCTATTTCTATATATTTTTCGATATACAACCGTGTTCCTGTTACATGTTCAAGCTTTCAACATCTTTCCGTTTCGCTCAACTTAAAAGGCAACGTCTCAGACGTCTTGTAATATTAATGAGGAAATTTAAAAAATCTATATGTGTATAAGGATAGTGAACTTTCGTTTTCAGCTGGCAGCACGCCTTATAGCCCATGTACCTATGCCATGTATGAATGTTTTTCCACTTATTTGCATACAAGTTGAAGTTATTTCGTGCTATTAATATTCCATTGCGTATTCGCGCGAGAATATATTCCATTTTTAATAACACAAAACTTTATGAAAATTTTATAAATAAAAGGCAAGTGTAACGCCAACAGCAGCTACAACAACAAAAATCCATAGCCAAAAGGAGAGCTCAAAAGTCAAAGCAAACAAGCAAAGGGCAGAGCATAAGGCGATGCGGGTTGCAGATTGAGGACTCCCAGAACTGCCAAATGGGATACACAGCGCCAAAGGAGGTGGAGCTGGAGCTGGGCGCTGAAGCTCAGCGTTCGGGTCGGGGTTGGGCAAAGCAACGGGATGAGCACAGCCGAGTGGGTGGGCCAAAAAACAATTGAAATGTGAATATTAAATATACAAGTACAAGATTTCTGTATCCCTCCAGCAAGTAGTTCGCTGCCAGCAGACTCTGCGGTCTTTTCAGGTGCGGTGCGCACCGCCTGCCGTCCCCCCCATAGAAGGCAGCAACTCCCCGCGGCGTCATTGTGTGCATTGCGAGTGGCAACAAAATAAACCGTTTGATGGCATCCATGTTGGGCGCAACTGATTGATGTCGAGATTTGCTGGTGCTAACCAGGTGGGCGTATACCCTTTAACGCCTCACCACCCCTCTTATCAGAGATTGGCAATCAGTTTGCCAGATGCCTTCAAGTAAATACATTGAGGTGATAAGCTGTAAGGCTGGCGCTTAAACATATTGTTGCCTGATCCCGTCTGCCAGCAGAGAATAAGTGTAAAATCATCTAACTAGATTTTGAATTTAATATCCGGGATGATAGTCCAAATGTCAGCAGTGTGATAGAAATATGAAAAATGCTTCTATCGAATAATTGTGTCACTTTTACTCTTGTAAATTAAAGTCTTGCACAGAGATGTGTTACATATAGAAGAAGACGCCTTCGATTCCAAGTTGTATATATGTGTATACATATCACCTTGGACTTTATTTACTCGAGAACTCCAAAAATAAATGACAGGAAAATTTTAATTTCTGAAACGACCCATTTTTGACGGAAGTTGTGGTGTAACCCCTTGCCCATTTGTGGCATAATTGTGTACCTAAGTAATCCAAACTTTCCTTTCAGTTTCAAAGCAAATTTGAGCACAAGCTCTTATATTCTCGTATTAGCAGAATATGTCTGCAAGAGTATTTAATTGCGAAAAGGTATTTCGCCCATACCTTTCGCAGAGGATATAACTACTTTGTCACGTGTTGTTCAACGTATTGACATATTCGGCCTTAAAAAGAAACGTTAATACGTCTATCTCAGAGGTTGAACCATATTATCATGCACTTTGGCTAGCTGTGCTCTACTGCAGGGTCCAACCATTCACACAAGCCAAATGATGAGCTTACTCTGCAACTGTAGCTGTAAGCTAGGAATATTTGTGCTTGAAGCTAAAATCAAATTGTTACCGAGAAACGGCGGATTTAAAAAATGTTACTGACATACATATATAAAACGTGATCCACAATAGAAACTAATTGCAGGCCAAGCAAATTGCTTACAACATGTTCCACTCTATATGGTTGCCTGGCATAAAAGCCTGGGATGTTTTTCAGCTGGTACAGCCCGGTCATATTGTACTCGCTCTCTCTCTCTGTGTGTGTGTGTGTGTGTATGGCATGCAGCGAGGCACATTAATTAAATAAAAATTGATTTTTCAAGCGCATGAAATCCAATCAACGACCAGCTCCAAGTAGGGACAACAACGAGTGGCTCGCACATAAAGCTATGTCCTGGATCAGCGCATCAGCCTTGTAGCACCATCGCATCGCACCACCAACACCTCCCCATTGCCTGCCCACTGCCGCTGCCGCTGCTGCCGCTGCTGCTGCTGCTGGTTGTCAAATGAAGTTAACAAAGTTTACGATTTTTTATATATTTTGCGTTCGCTCGACTTTCAATTTTTTTTTTTTTTTGGTTTTTTTTATTTGCCATATTTTTTGTTGTTGATTTTTTCTTTTTATCGTTTGCATAAGTATATAATATGAGCATGGGACAGCTATTGTGGCGCTGGATGTGCCATGCTTTATTTCTGGTGCATGGTGCCGCATGCCGCATGCCACATGCCACATGCGTTTTGTATCGCCTTCAACCATTGGCCACAGTTTAATGTGCGCTGTCGCCCTTTTTGTGCGGGCGGTATTTAAACCACAGCAAGTCATCAGGCAAATTGAATTTTCAACGTATGCTCGCACACACACACACACACACACTGACGGGCACGCCCACAATTACAATGCCTGGCTTAAAGCTCTACTTGTTTTATATAGCTCTTATAGCAACTACTATGCCCCGACTGTCCCTCTGGTGCCTGGTCAACGCCATTTGCCGTTTCGCTTCTTTCGTTTCTCGTTACAAAATTACCCACGATAAAAATTGAATTACTTCGTCGGCGTTGGAGCTGGAGCTGAAGCTGGCATCGCATTCTAGTCTTGCGTTTGCCTCCTGGACATGGCGAGATCTGGGTCTGGGTCCTGTCCTGGTCCTGGTCCTGGATAGCAGCGTTGTCGGTGCAAAGTGTTATGCTTACTCTTGACGCGCCCACAGCCACGCCCACGTCTCAGCGAGACTACTTAGGCGACGTTGAAACTGTCGCCGAGCCTGGTCCTGCAGCCTGCACCCTGCCTGTAAACGCCACCCTCCTTACGCCCCCATTGTGTGTGTGTATGTGTGTATGACTTCATCTAATGATAAATGAGCTGCAATGGATGACAGCGAATCAACTTAAGTGTATTGCTCTGCTTCGGTGACACTCTCCCCCTAGCCCCTCATTTTCCCTACGGCAGTCTACTTGCACACCGCACCCGCCTGCCTAGTGTTTCATACCCCTCTTCACTCCATGTCCTGCTGCCGGTCTGTGCTTTTTCCAGCACCCTGTCATCCAATGCACTTTCCCTTAACGCTTTTTGCTTGTGTTTACGTTTCACTTCAAATTTCTATGCTACACTAAATATTTACATAGGAAAAACTTTGCGAGTGTAAGTGAAACGCTTTAAAAATGCTCGAGGGAAAAACTTATGCGAATGTTTCGCCACTCATTAACTTATCGAAACTTATTTTATAGCAGGGCTAATTAGAGAGATTGGTATTTAATGATTCCAGCTGCGACCAGTTCATAAAGAGTGGCAAGGAGATGCTGAGATACAGAGAGAGAGAGAGTGAGCAAGAGATGGAGAGAGAAGAAGAGGGAGAGAGAGTGAGATAAGAGAGTGATAGTGCTTCTGCCTGGTAAGGCTCATGTCAGTTACCAATCTGTTTAAGTGCATTGCCATTCTTTTATCAGTGGCAATAGCGTGACAGTCTGGCAACGCTGCTTTTGTGTGGCCATATGTGCCATGCAAGGTGGCAACGCCAAACATCAAACTTCATGTTAAATGAACAACATGTTCTTCTTAAAATTTAGCCAGCAATCATTTTACAGCACAAAATCGAGTTTGATAACAGTTTGAAAAGTGACTGTTAGTTTTGCTAGGAATAAATCATAGACTTTATTTTGGTTGGTGGGTTGCTGGTTGCTCATGCATAACGTTGACTCAAAACATTGAATCTCCACAAGTTCCCATAAAAGTCATCTATCATCATCATTATTTCCAAAGAGCAATTTACAGCGGACTTTATTATTAAATGCATATATAAATTATATTTTATTTGAAAAACTAATTGTTAAAATAAATAAACAAAAAAAAAAAAAAATTAAGTACATTATTGTAAATATATCATTGCTAATATCATTGAATTTATTGTGAGATTATATAGTATGAATGCTACAGTTTTCGTTTCCGTCTATTTGGTTTGGCATTGTGTATAAGTTGTCTCTACTTGTGCAGACACGTTGCATCATCCTTGGACACGCACTTCAGAGTGCGGTAGTCGAAACGTTCCTTGTTATCGCAGCGCAGATGCACGAACCTATGCTTGCCAGACTTCTTGATCTCGCACCGGTAATACTTTCGGCAATCGCGCACATCTGGATAGATATCGTCCTCATCGCATTCCTCTTCATCCTTGAGCTTCTTGATAACGTTCTTTACGAATTGCTTCTTCTCCTTGGAATTCAGATCATCGTTGTCATCATCTTCACTGGATTTTTTCTGTTCGCTGTCTTTCTCCTCATTGGAATCCTTTGATTTTTTGTTGTCCTTTTTGCCATTCTTTTCCTCAGTAGAGCTATTGGATTTTTTCTTATCGGTGTCCTTTTCCTCCTTTGAATCTTTTGACTTGCTGTTGTCTTTCTTATTATCCTCTTTCGATTCTTTTGGCTTGTTGTTCTTATCCTTCTTCTCGTCAGAGCTGTTCTCATTAGAGGCAGGCTTCTTATGCTCTTGCTCCTTGGACTGGTCCTCAGCAGGCTTTGGCTTCTTCTTGTCCTTGTTGTTCTCTTCAACCGAGGCATTCTCATTGGAGATGGGTCCACCAGATGGTTGTTCTACAGACTCATTTGTTTCCGACTTGTTGCTGTCTTCAGTCGGGGCTGGTGTGGGAGCAGTGGTGGGCTGGGCAGGCTTTTTAGATGGTCGCCAGCTATTGACCCAGTCATGCCAATTCGGCCAGAAGGGCTTTACAGTCGGTATATTCTGGCCATTACCATTGTTATTGCCATTTCCGTTACCTGGTTGCTGGGGACGTTGCGGCCAGAAAGGATGTTGGGGGATTGGTCGAATGGGTGGTCTTGGGTGTCCTGGGTGCACGGGGTGAATGGGTTGACTCGGACGCCATGGATGTGGCCATGAGCCCGGACGACCCGGGTATTCAGGAACTGAAGGGATAGAGGGAACAGATGGTTTGATGGGTAAATTGGGATCAACTGGAGAGTTGGGGTTCACTGGAGAGCTAGGATCAAGTGGTGTATTGGGATCAACTGGTTTGTTGGGATTCACTGGTGCGTTAGGATCCACTGGTGCGTTGGGGTTCACCGGTGCGTTGGGATCAACCGGTGTATTGGGGTTGACCGGTGCATTGGGATCAACTGGTGCATTGGGATCGACTGGTGCGTTGGGGTCGACTGGTGCGTTGGGATCAACTGGTGTGTTGGGATTGACTGGTGCGTTGGGATTAACAGGTGCATTGGGGTCAACTGGCGCGTTAGGGTCCACTGGTGCGTTCGGGTTCACCGGTGCGTTGGGATCAACCGGTGTATTGGGGTTGACCGGTGCATTGGGATCAACTGGTGCGCTAGGATCAACTGGGGTGTTGGGGTCGACTGGTGCGTTGGGGTCTACTGGTGCATTGGGATCAGCTGGTGCATTGGGATCGACTGGTGCGTTGGGGTCGACTGGTGCATTAGGGTCCACTGGAGCGTTGGGGTCGACTGGTGCATTAGGGTCCACTGGCGCGTTGGGGTTCACTGGTGCGTTGGGATCAACCGGTGTATTTGGGTTGACCGGTGCATTGGGATCAACTGGTGCGTTGGGGTTCACCGGTGCGTTGGGATCAACCGGCGTATTGGGGTTGACCGGTGCATTGGGATCAACTGGTGCATTGGGATCGACTGGGGCATTTGGATCCACTGGGGCATTGGGGTCCACTGGAGCGTTGGGGTCGACTGGAGCATTGGGATCAACTGGAGCGTTAGGGTCGACTGGTGCATTAGGGTCCACTGGAGCGTTGGGGTTCACTGGGGCGTTGGGATCAACCGGTGTATTTGGGTTGACCGGTGCGTTGGGATCAACCGGTGTATTGGGGTTGACCGGTGCATTGGGATCAACTGGTGCATTGGGATCGACTGGTGCGTTGGGGTCGACTGGTGCGTTGGGATCAACTGGAGCGTTTGGATCAACAGGAGCGTTGGGGTCGACTGGTGCATTCGGGTCCACTGGAGCATTGGGATCGACTGGTGCGTTAGGATCTACAGGTGCGTTTGGATCAACTGGTGCGCTGGGATCGACTGGGGCATTTGGATCCACTGGGGCATTGGGGTCCACTGGAGCGTTGGGGTCGACTGGAGCGTTAGGGTCGACTGGTGCATTAGGGTCCACTGGAGCATTGGGATCGACTGGTGCATTAGGATCTACAGGGGCGTTAGGATCAACTGGAGCATTTGGATCCACAGGTGCGCTGGGATCGACTGGTGCGCTGGGATCGACTGGTGCATTAGGGTCCACTGGAGCGTTGGGGTCGACTGGAGCATTGGGATCAACTGGAGCGTTAGGGTCGACTGGTGCATTAGGGTCCACTGGAGCATTGGGATCAACTGGTGCATTAGGATCTACAGGTGCGTTTGGATCAACTGGAGCGTTTGGATCCACTGGTGTGCTGGGATCGACTGGTGCGCTGGGATCCACTGGTGCATTTGGATCCACTGGAGCATTGGGGTCCACTGGAGCGTTAGGGTCGACTGGTGCATTAGGGTCCACTGGAGCATTGGGATCAACTGGTGCATTAGGATCTACAGGTGCGTTTGGATCAACTGGAGCGTTTGGATCCACTGGTGTGCTGGGATCGACTGGTGCGCTGGGATCCACTGGTGCATTTGGATCCACTGGAGCATTGGGGTCCACTGGAGCGTTAGGGTCGACTGGTGCATTAGGGTCCACTGGAGCATTGGGATCGACTGGTGCATTAGGATCCACTGGCGCGTTGGGATCGACTGGAGCGTTGGGATCAACTGGGGCGTTGGGATTAACTGGTGCATTGGGGTCGACAGGTGCATTCGGGTCGACGGGAGCGTTGGGATCAACAGGTTTATTCGGATTAACTGGAGCGTTAGGGTCGACTGGCGTATTGGGGTCCACCGGTGCATTAGGGTCCAATGGAGCATTGGGATCGACTGGTGCGTTTGGATCGACTGGTGCATTAGGGTCTACAGGTGCGTTTGGATCAACTGGTGCGTTAGGATCAACTGGTGTGTTCGGATCGACTGGTGCGTTTGGATCGACTGGTGCATTGGGGTCTACAGGTGCGTTTGGATCAACTGGTGCGTTAGGATCAACTGGGGTGTTGGGATCGACTGGTGCGTTGGGATCGACTGGTGCATTGGGGTCGATAGGTGCATTCGGGTCGACTGGAACGTTGGGATCGACAGGTGCATTTGGGTCCACTGGAGCGTTGGGGTTGACTGGAGCGTTGGGGTCTACAGGTGCATTCGGGTCGACTGGAACGTTGGGATCCACTGGTACGTTAGGATCAACAGGTGCGTTGGGATCGACTGGTGTAGTTGGGTCCACCGGAGCGTTGGGATCGACTGGAGCGTTAGGGTCCACTGGGGATACAGTAGTTCCCTCTGGATTCACAGGGGCATTGGGATCAACTGGTGCGTTGGGATTAACTGGGACATTAGGATCGACTGGTGCGTTGGGATCCACTGGTGCATTGGGGTCGACAGGTGCATTTGGATCGACTGGAGCGTTCGGATCCACTGGTGCATTGGGGTCGACAGGTGCGTTCGGGTCGACTGGAGCGTTGGGATCGACTGGTGTAGTTGGGTCCACCGGAGCGTTGGGATCGACTGGAGCGTTAGGGTCCACTGGGGATACAGTAGTTCCCTCTGGATTCACAGGGGCGTTGGGATCAACTGGTGCGTTGGGATTAACTGGGACATTAGGATCGACTGGTGCGTTGGGATCCACTGGTGCATTTGGGTCGACAGGTGCATTTGGATCGACTGGAGCGTTCGGATCCACTGGTGCATTGGGGTCGACAGGTGCATTCGGGTCGACTGGAGCGTTGGGATCGACTGGTATAGTTGGGTCCACCGGAGCGTTGGGATCGACTGGTGTAGTTGGGTCCACCGGAGCGTTGGGATCGACTGGAGCGTTAGGGTCTACTGGGGATACAGTAGTTCCCTCTGGATTCACAGGGGTGTTGGGATCAACTGGTGCATTGGGATCTACTGGAACATTAGGATCGACTGGTGCGTTGGGATCCACTGGTGCATTGGGGTCGACTGGTTCATTTGGGTCGACTGGAGCGTTGGGATCCACTGGTGCATTGGGGTTTACAGGTGCATTCGGGTCGACTGGAGCGTTGGGATCCACTGGTACGTTAGGATCAACAGGTGCGTTGGGATCGACTGGTGTAGTTGGGTCCACCGGAGCGTTGGGATGGACAGGAGCGTTAGGGTCCAATGGGGATACAGTAGTTGCCTCTGGATTCACTGGGGCGTTGGGATCAACTGGTGCGTTGGGATCTACTGGAGCATTAGGATCGATTGGTGCGTTGGGATCCACTGGTGCATTGGGGTCGACAGGTGCATTCGGGTCGACTGGAGCGTTGGGATCCACTGGTACGTTAGGATCAACAGGTGCGTTGGGATCAACTGGTGCGTTGGGATCTACTGGAGCATTAGGATCGATTGGTGCGTTGGGATCCACTGGTGCATTGGGGTCCACAGGTGCATTGGGGTCGACAGGTGCATTTGGGTCGACTGGAGTGTTGGGATCCACTGGTACGTTAGGATCAACAGGTGCGTTGGGATCGACAGTTGAACCGGGATCTAACGGAGCGTTAGGATCGACGGGAGCATTGGGGTCGACTGGGGATACAGTTGTTTCAGCTGGATTCTCAGGGGCGTTTGGATCAACGGGTGCATTGGGGTCAACTGGTGCGTTTGGATCGACCGGAGCATTGGGGTCCACTGGTGCATTGGGATCTACTGGAGCATTGGGATCAACCGGAGCGTTGGGATCCACTGGTGTATTAGGATCGATAGGTGCATTTGGATCAACTGGTGCATTCGGGTCCACTGGTACGTTGGGGTTAACTGGAGCATTCGGATCGACTGGGGATACAGTTGTTCCCTCTGGGTTCTCAGGTGCGGTGGGATCCAAAGGAGCGGTAGGTTCAGTTGGGGCAGTCGGGTCAACTGAAGATATTGTCGTTCCCTCTGGGTCAACAGGAATATTGGGATTAACGGGCTCTGTTGGATTTATTGGGAGTGACGTCGTTCCCTCTGGGCCAACTGGTGCATTTGGGTCCACGGGTGCGTTAGGATCTACTGGTGTATTGGGATCAACTGTGGGGTCGACAGGGGATGATGTAGAGCTTCCTGGCGTGGGCTCTGTTGGACGTGTGGGGGCATTAGTTTCCCAATTGGGACCGACGGTGGTAATTGGATCCAATGTGGCGTCAGTTGTAGTGTCCGCCAGCAGTGTTGAATCAGGCTCTGCGGGTGCATTAGTTGTTGTGTCAACTATCGGCTCTGCAGTTGTCTGCAGTGTAGTATCTGTAGTTGCCTCCTCTGGCACATTAGTCGTCTCAATGACAACAGTGGTTGAGGCAATGGGGAGCTCTGTTGAATTGGCGGGAAGTAGACCCTCAGTGCTGTTGGTAAGCACATTGCTTGCAGAGCTGGTGGTAGACTCGATAAGCGCTGCCGAGCCGCTGCCACCAATTATTGGATGGTCGGTGACTGTTGTCATCTTGGCTACTGCCGCTGAAGACGCCTCTCCATCTGATTTAACGGGCACACAAATCTCCAGCCCATCGTTAATACAGAGCGTATTGACTGGGCAGGGGAGAACTTTGCCGGTAGCCACATCTCCCACGCAGGCCTGATAGGTGGCTGGTCCCACGCAGATGGCCGGTTGGCCGCTGCAGTTGATGTTTATGATCTGCGCACTGGTCTGTACGGCCTCTTGTCGGCTGCCGATCAGTGCGGCCAACTATAGGAGACATGGGGATAGAAAAAGAGGGAGAGAGAGTAAAGAATTTAGTATGATTAAGCTATTGGTCGCACTGGTGCACTGTTTGTCACAAGTCGGAGTCTCGGGACCGTAACAATTACACTGGTTTAGTTTCACTTGCATAAGATACTTTCGAGTCGCCGCCGAGTGCTATATACGATATCCAAAGTAGCAAGATTCCCGGCAGCTTTTGTTAGTTTGTTTGGTTTTAGTCACGCGTATCCAAAAGCCCGTAAAGTTGCCACACAAAATGGTTAATAAAATACAACTCATCAGTAACAGAAACAAAAAATATTAATTATTATTTCAAATTTTGATTTGAGGTTCTGGCATGACGATGTGGGGAACGGGATAATCGGGTTTTGGGTTCTGTGGCGCGTTAGTAGAGTTTATGCAATTACCACAAATAACATCAAAAACTTGAATATTTTGTTCGTCATCGTCGTTGTGTAATGTATTTGGTTCGAATGAAAAATCGTTACTATCCTCTGTATGAGCAGGCGAGTTGCTTTTATTCAAAAACTTCCCATCCGCTTTTATCTCTAGCGAATCTGTTTGACGTTATGTAAATAGCCAATGATTATCTTTGTTTGTCCCAGATAAGTTTGCGACCAATTTATGATATTGCAGCTAAAATCTGAAGCGGCCTAAAGCTGCTTGCGGCTGTGAGCCATTTTTTTCCGACTACACTTGGTAAATGTATTTATTTTTTTAACAGATATTTTTCGGTTTCGTCTGTTTTTTTCCTCAGCTGACGCAATAGAATAAAAAACAAATTCGTTGTATGGATAAACACATTGGAATGTGTTTCGTTGTTTTATGTGATAAATAATAATCACACTCGGTAGATATCAAACACTAAGCCCCGACATTCTACAGAAAACTATTTTTGATAGGGCTTTATTTATTTATTTATTTTGTTGAATTACTTTTTATTGTACATCTTAAAACGTTTATTTTAAAATTAAGCATTGATTGAACAATTATTTATTTATATATAAAATATTACATTTTCAACAAAAATGCAATATTGTGATTTTATAAATACAGAACCTGCTCCATTAAATATTCACGAGCAGCCAACTACTTGGCCATGTCTCTATTGGTGTCGATTGTTCGAAAAATTTGATAAATCAATGGGAATTAACTTAGCTCAGTTTAACAAGCTGTGAAGAAGACCTTGTCACTTTGATATGGACATGAGTTTCTCAGTAATTAAAATAATTTTTATATGTAGTTTTTAATGCTAAATTCTAAATGGGCTATGTGATATGAGTCTCTGCTCGTGCAAATAATAATAATTAAATAATCTAAGCTAATAAACGTTATTATCTCGTTAGAGCTTCCGATGGTCATTAAGTTAAGCCAATGATGATATTTCACACATTTGTTTAACTGCCGTACGTAATCTTAATCTAAGCAAGTAGACCCTAGAGTTGAACTTGACAAACAAAAAACAAGAAATATATACGAGAAGGCTGCGCATTTCCTGTGACAAATTTGCGCTATTTGCCAAATTTTAAGAAAAATAATAAATAGACGGTACAATTTCTTGTGTATCGAACATAAATTACCCTAATTCAATTCTTGTTGAATGGTATGAAACAAATTAATAATTTAATGTAGTTCGGGCAAAGGCATTTGACAATTAAGCTAATGGAAAGCTTTTTAAAAGCCATAGTTTATATAGAATTCAGATTTTGAATATGATTTAAGATATTATTGCTTTGAATAAAGGATATAATTATAGGCTATAGCTTCAATGTTCGGATACTCTATCCACGCATAGAGTATTATAATTGAGGTGCGGTAGTGCTTAGTTATACAGTTCCATGGCTGGACGGAGGTGTGCCTCAGAGTGGATTCCAACATAGATCATGACTAAGACCGATTGGCTTATCTGGCGGGCACATGATGCACATCTCACACTGATGTAGCTTTGTGTGTGTGCGCCAGCTACTGTTTGCCAGCGGGTCTGCTAGCACCATTTTATGACGCAGGCAATCCCCTCGAGCAGGGTGCGTCCATCCAATTGAAGAGTTTTGTATCTCTTTTGCGTATGTTTTTGCAAGCATCATGATAAGGCCGAAGGTTGAGCGCATTTCGTATGCCAAACAGTAGTAACAACAGCAACAATGATCATGATCGTGAATTCGAGTGTGATAAGCTACAGCAACCGGTCCAAGATTACAAGCGAGTGCTGTCCAAGTAATCCTTATCTTACAGATGCGAGATCTATCAAGATAAGCAAGCCGCTAGCGGCGTCAGTTTTGTGAATCCACGAGCCAACTCTGGACAGTTGCCGGCCCATCCGTAAATTGTCGTTCGTATTGTATAACACACATGCGCATGATATTAGGCATTATTTATGAGCAAAGGTCCAAAGACCTTTTCACCCAGGCCATACTGACTAATTGTGGGCATTGGCTTCACATCTGGTAATTCCCAAAAGCACTGATACGTTACAATATGTGCCGGAGGGGGAGGAGAGTACATCAAACAAAAATTGAAGAGCAATTTGTAGGCTCTCGTCCATGTTTCGCATTGCGTATGCCCTTTGAAGCCGGCAATTCCATAAAATTGTTAAATTAAACGTCTTTTTTAATTCCAAATATCCAATGAAAAGTTCTTCAAGGGGTCTATTGGCAAGCATGTATGATATGCATCGACAACATGTGGTATGCTTAATATATATTCCAAAGAAAGCGAATCTACACTTTTTGTGTGTACACGAGTTTTGACATAGGCTGATCAAATTTACGATATAATTAGCTCGTATATCGACAAGATCCGAATTATATTTGCCTTTTATTAAGATGAACCTTTCATTTTTAGCGATCACATATTTTCTTAATGATATTAAAAGAGCTCACGAATGCCACTGCACATACAGGGTATCCACGCAGCTCATCACTTTCACCTGGATTATGCGTGCTTTCTTTTTTGCCAGTTGCTTCATTTAATGCGGTTAAACCATGAAATAAAAACGCCAATGCAATGCAGGCACTGCGGTTTTTCATGTCTAGACAATACAATAAATACAGTTAGCCATATATTTGTATTATCATACGGTGTGCATACACATGCATACACATGCATAGACCCATGCTCTCTATACCCGATGCATATATTTTATAATTGGCGTCAATTTGCTGGCTTATCGCCTGGCGGTCTGTGTCACAAAGTGTGCAACATTATGCACAAATGAGACACCAATTTTTTTTAATTTTCTTTTTTAAGTATATTCGTCAACTGTTTCAATGTGAGACTCGGAGTGCATACTGCCAGCGGGTGACCAGAAAAACCAAAAAACAAACAAATGAGAATTAAGGCTAGTTACAGAATTTGAGCTAAGTTTTTAGGCCTGTTTAGCCTTAGATCGAGTAAATATCACACTTGAGCTTGGGACCTAACACTACGCAGCCTTACCTTACTTCAGCTAATTGAATTCCCGCCCCCGATTATCCATGTGCTATGCTTTTGTCGTATTATGCGTACATACTTTACCTAAAATATAAGGTATACCACTTGGTCATAAGAGAATCTAAGGCATTACACTGTTCTGCTAATCTGCATGGAAATCTCTTGAGTCGATTAACCAAATGCTTATTATGGTTGCCTCTCTGTTGTTGCAATCCTGATCTGAATCCTTTACTTGCCACGTCTTCTGCTCCTTCCGCCGCTATATTTTCTGCTGCTGCTGACTGTTGTTCTGCTTCGCATTAGTCTGGGCACACTTTGCGCTCAGCTGAAGGCTTCGCTTTGACTGGTGATGAGGCAAACAGTCGACGTGCTAATTCGTTGCGCACCCAGTTGAGCCTGTGGCTGCCGGATCCGGCAGGGTCCCCAGTCGACAAAAATGTAACAAGGACGCAGCGCGCACACACACACACACACACACACACATATGCACACAAACCATTGCTTGCAAATCAAGCAAAGGCTCGTTGTCAAGCGAAGGACCCCTTCCCCGCTTCCTCAATCCACTGAACACCACCTTTCGCTCCAAATTATGCAAGTCGTGTCGGTGGCTCCGGCCGCGCTGCATCGCGTTAATGTTGTTGGCGTTGCGGCCGCGACTGCGGCGGCTGCTGTGGCTTTCAGTGCAGCGCTCGTGCCTCATTGGCGTTGCACAAAGCGGGCGGCGGTGGCTAAATTTGCATAAATTAACAATGTTTCGCAATTGCAGCCACTGATGCAGCGAATTCTTGTGACCAGCCACCCAGCGACCCACTCATTCGCGCCGCCGTCGCCCACATGCCCGCACATGAAGTATATGTGCGTATGTGTGTGCGTGTGTGCGTGTGTGCGTGTCTGTGTGCTGTCCACCATGTGCAAAGTGCGCGTTTTATTGATTTGATGCTCCAATGCACTTATTATCCCTCAAGCAGCCAGTGCCAGTTAATCCCGTGGCGATGCGTCGCCATTTTACACACAAAAACACACTCACACACCCACACCCACACACGCACACACGCTTGTTCGTATATATACGCATTAGGGTGTGCCCGAAAAGTTGGTCAAGTGTGTGCAGGAGAAGGCTCATTAGCCAAACCAAGTGGAATTGGTAATGCGTATATTTCGCATGGCGGCCTGGGCAAACAAATGGGATGAAGCGCAGCCCCTTTTATGATTCCAAATATATAACACATATTAGTTTTATAAATAGATTTAAAAATACGCATTTTTGGCGCATTTTCAAAAAATTACCTAACTTTTGTTTCAACATATTAAAATTCATATTGATGCAGTTTGAAATTTGTTACATGCCATGTTTTTAAATAAGTGGACTCGTTTGCAAATCGTTTCAAGTATTATTTAACAACATTTATTCATACACTTTGTCATTTCAAAACTCTTTTCGAATTTTACACTTAGGCCAATAAGATCAACAAAATATTTGGCATTGTTTAAAGCACCTTAACTGTGCTTTACTTTTGAAATAGCCCTAGTAATAATTCTAAAATCCAACCTCTATCGGTCCATAGAATATAGAGAAAAAATTGAACCTGTTTGAAGAAATTTGAATTGCTTTTGATAGTTAGTGTGTGTGTGTGTCTGTGTGTGTGTGTGTATTGGTGTGCGAATAAAAATGGCTGCATTATGTTGTTAGTTAATTAAACAACTAACGGCTGCGCACGCTAGGTGGCGTTTAGTGCATGCCTCTGGCAAATGCCTGCAAGTGTAAAAGCCAATCGCTGTCATTCACAATGGACACACTTATCGATCCATCAGAGAGTGTCGCATTTGCTTGTGGCCAGCTATCGATCACTGAAATATATGTTGTTATCAATTATTTGAAAGCAGCTTAATTGCAATTACTTTGATTTTGTGTGCTTAATGTGAACACATTTGAGTGCACTCATTTGCAGCATGAATGGTTTGAATTTAGCAATGAGTGCATGCCGCCTTGGCACGCTCTGGGCAAGTGTCCCACAATTCAATTTGCATTTAAGCAACT